GCTCCGCGCCGGCCCCCCCTCCCGGCGCCGCGCCCCGCCCCCGCCGGAAGTCCCGCCGCTTCCTGCTCCCGCGCCCGCCGCGAGGCATTCTGGGGCCTGTAGTTCCCGGGACCGCCGCCATGTGCGCGGCCGTCTCCGCCGGCGGCGGGCGGGCGGCGGCCCGGCGGTTCAGCAAAGCCAGGGGGGCGGCCGGAGGTACGGGGAGGAGGGGGAAATTGACGGCTTCCCAGGGTTGGAGGGGTCGTGTGCGGCCGTGTCCCGGCGAGGGGAGCCTGTGGGCCCACAAGCAGGGGGAGTGAGGGTGCAGCCCAGCCGGGGGACAGGGACATGGTGGCCTTATCACATCGTCGTCCCCCCCTCGAAGCCCGGGATGTGGCAGCACCCCGATGGCTGTCCCGCTTGTGGCACTGGGCGAGGGCCTGGGGGGTGCATCTTGTCCTTCTGCAGCCTCTTGTGTGTTTGGGACATGCGTCCCCGTAGTGTGACATGTGTCCCCAACTCTGGTCACCAAGTCCTTCTTTCCAAAGGCTTCTTTCCTTGGCCTCAGGCCTGAAAATCTCTCTCCCATCTCTTGCAGTGGGCCAGCTCCATAGCACAGCCAGCGTCCCGAGGCGCAGCAGGAGGAGGAAGAGCGTTGCCATTGCCTATGAATCTGGGGAGAGGGATGGTGGCGAGCAGGGGGCGTCTGAACCCCAGAGACCGCGCTGGGAGCCGAGGGACTGGCAGCAGCAGCTGGAGCGCATCAGGGAGATGAGGAGGAGCAGAGATGCTCCCGTGGATGAGATGGGAGTGGAGAAGTGTTACGACAGCAGCGCACCTCCGCAGGTAACAGCACCCTGCTGCCCTGTGCCGTCAGGCGGCCATGTTAAAATACAGCCCCTCTTCCACAGCCCTTCAGCCTCCCTCATCCTCGTGTTGCCCCTGGATATGTCCCGCTTTACATGTCTCCGGGACAGAAAAATAAACGCAGGGTGTATATCGGGACTCTGGGCTGGGGTTGGTCCCACAAGAAGTTACTGCAGAAGTGTGCATACGAGGGAAACAGATCATCCTGCTCGAGGAGTGGTGTCAGCCGCTGCCTCTCCGGTACCGGGCTCGTTGGCTTCAGACAGCCCTTGTGAAATGGCAGTGGATGTTTTCTGAGATGTTCTCTGCTCGCATTCAGCCCATGCTGGACATCAGAGACCAACTAGCAAACACAGCTGCGAAAGGCCTTTGTCCTCTGCTTAAACTGCTGCCAGAAGAGTCAGCAGGCTGAACCAAGAGCAGGAGACGAGGCAAAAAAAAATAAAGGAGGATTTGGGACTTAGGAGTGAAAACCCTGAGAGTGTGTTGTGGCAGTGCTGTCTTCTGGGGCAGGCTGGCAGGACATGAAGGCATGTCCCTTTTTTCTTAAAAATCTCCGTAAGAGTCCAAAGAAAGTATCCAGCAAGATGGCTCTGTAATACAGAGGAAAAACAGTGTGGAGAAAAGGCAAAGGGAGCCGAGAAAAAACTTTCCAGGCTGCTTTTGTGCTCCTCAGAGCAGCACACAAGCGTATGTTGGCTTCCTCCCCTCTTGCGGTCCACTTTTAAGGGGATAGGGGTTGAAAGGAAGGGCCGTGCTGGGATGGCACTGTGCTCCCCGAGCCTGGGAACACAATCAAAGGCCCCAGATGACACCTCCCTCCGAGGGGACCATTTGCATCAGTACAAAAAACAAAGCGGAGCGGGGCGGTGCTGGGGGCTGTGGGGCACGGCGCTGGTGTGGGAACAGGGAGATAACCCGCAGGCAGGGTCGGCGGAGCAGCGGGGGTCCTGTGCTCCACAGCGACCTGCTGGGTTCTGAGGGAGGGGTCTGGAAGACACAGCTGCACAGCTTCAGCTCCTTATTGCTGGCCTCGTGGCTTGGGCTTGGATCCGTGGGGAAAATGGTTAACTTTGACTCAGGCTTCAGACAGCATCACACGCTCCGCAGCCGTGCAGGCTGGCACCAAGTGCAGCTGCGGGGCCACGGGGACCACGGTACGGAAATAACTTTTCTTGTCTAGGGAAGCAGGGTTGTTGCTTCCAAGGAAAAGTGGATGTTGTAACCCTCAGCACACACCAGCACTCCTCACACGTTTTCCATGCCCTGGGAGATTACCCTGCTTCCATGCACTCAGAGGTTTTTTCTGGCGCACCTGCAGTTTTGGAAACTGTAAGAGAGCTGGAGGAAGGATTGTATCCCACATTATCCTGGGTCAGTCCAGGTTAGTTGCATCATCCTGCTCTTTCTGGTGGCGATAGAATCGCATCTGGGAAAAATCAATTGAAAAATAGGAGGTGAATGGTCTGGGCTAAACCCTGCATGACAACATCGGAGGAACTTCTGGGTTTTGTGCTTCAGCTCACAATCTCTGTCATCCCAGTTCTTAAGATTTGGTTTTGTAAAGAGCTCACTGGAGCCAGATACCCCACTTCCAACTGAATCCTAGTGGGAAAGGGGCGGGATTTTCAAAGGTGCAGAAGTTGCATGAAAACTTATTAGGCGTTTGTACTTCTACATCCTGCAGGGTCTCCTGAGAATTGGGAAAAGCTTTGTCTGTCCCTTTGTGGCTAAGCATTGGTGTCTTTGGATGTGAGATCCCAGCAGACACTAGCTGTTCTCTGCCCTTTTATGCGTGGTGACTGCTTAGATTGGAGGTGTTTCTTTTCTCCCTTTATTGTGTGGTAGAATTAAAAGACGATGGATTATTTCTGTTGCAGCCTTCCAGTCTCTTGTATATGGATACAGCTGAACCAGGGTAGGTCCACATTGTGCACTGGACTGAAGATGGTGCTGAGTGGGAGAACCAAGCCCCAGAGGTGGCTGGATCCTCTCAGAGATCTTGGGGTGTCTCACTGTCTCCTTTCCCCCAGGTGATGCGCTACCAAGTTCTCCTGTCGCTGATGCTCTCCAGCCAGACCAAGGACCAGGTGACATCGGCTGCCATGCTGCGCCTGAGGCAGCACGGCCTCACGGTCGACAGTATTTTGCAGATGGATGATGCGACGCTTGGGCAGATCATTTACCCTGTGGGATTTTGGAGGGTGAGTGCAGGATCGCGACAGCACTCGACGTGGACATAGAGGAACCCCCTCCATCGTCCTCTGCTCCCATGGAGCTGCTTGAGGCAGCTCAGAGTTCCAGGAGAGGAGCGCAGGGCGGGTGTGGGCTTGTCCTTTTTGGGCTGTATTCGTGGCCAGGCACTGAGCTGAAAGCAGATGACGAAGGCAGGAGGTGGGTATGAACCAGCCCTGCTCCTGAGAGACGCACCCCCAGCCGGTATTCAGCCTGTGGCCCTGCCCCATGGTGATCTTTCCCCTGAAGTCAAGCTGCAGGCTGTATTTCACGCCAGTTTTAGCAATTTGATTTCACAGCAGGGTTGTTTGCTGCGGTGCCTGGAGTGTGCAGGGGAGGTTAGAGCTAATCAGGTCTCAGCATTTAGCTTTCAAGGAGCAATCAAAGACCTCTGTCTCCCCTCCCCACATTCCAACATGTGGGCTCACATGTAACATATCCTCAGGAATAGTTTTTCTGAGCTGTTTGTCTCTTTTCCCTCTATTGGAGGCCAACTTGGATTTCCCCTTGATTTTTCAGAACAAGGTGAAGTACATAAAGCAGACGACAGCCATCCTGAAGGAGAAATATGGGGGTGACATCCCAAGAACTGTGGAGGAGCTGGTGCAGCTGCCAGGAGTTGGCCCCAAAATGGCCCACTTGGCCATGAACATTGCCTGGGACAGCGTGTCTGGGATCGGTAGGTTGCACCATGTTTTCTCCATTCCTCTCCTTAATCCTGTCTGATCCATTCCCCGGGCAGAGGGGAAGCATTGCAGCTGGGTACACTGCCCGCCTCAGCAGCCTGATAGCATCACTTCAGTTTAGTCATCTGCAGAGTATTTGGGTGGGTGAGAAATGTGATCCTCAACCCCTGACAGCAGATGAGTTGCTGTAGAACTTAAGTGTGGATCCAGCTACTGTTTGTCCCAAAATTTGATAGCAGAAATCCTCAAGGGCAGTTACTCCCTCCCCTCAGTGAATACTGGTAAGCAGCGCAAATATTGCCTAATTGGGTAGGCATCCAAAAAAGATGCACTTGCAGAGTAATGCTTTGGAATCTCTTTGGGGTCAAGTGAAAGGGGTGAGGGTAATTTTGTGATTTGGGGATAGTTGAGGGGTAGTCTGGGATGATTTTTTTCCAGGGTTGCATCCGTTCAAACAAATCTCATTTGGGTTTTTTGTTTGGCAAGCTGTAAGAGGGCAGAAGCAGGGCTTAATCAAAATTACCATTTGAAATCGGTAATTCATGAGGGGTTATAGAAGGAAATGATCCCAGGCAATCTGTAGCTACAGAATTTCTGATCTGTTTTAGTTCCTGTGGCTGGGTAATAGGTGAGCACAGGTATATTTTAGGTTTATTTGCCGTGTTCATTGAACAGAGGAGAGCGCATAGCTGTACCCCCGGAGCTGTGTACTTTTGCAGTGATGGACTGGGAGGGAAGTCTGTGGTGGAGATGGACCCAGGCCAGACCCAGGGCAGGTTTGCTCCTGCAGGATGCTCGTTTGGGCAGCGTGGTTGGCAGCAGAGCTGCCCGCAGCAGCCGGCAGATGGGGCTGGACGATCAGCTGCAGGGTCCCAGCGGGCCTGCCCAGCCTGGGGGCCCCTGGGGACAGATTAATATTCCGAGTGTATTTGTTGCTTACCAGAGGAGCCCTGGGAAAGCTAGGAATGGTGCCACCTGATGAATGGCTGCCTCCATGGCCAGCACGCAGCCCAAGGTCAGCGCGGGTGGCCGCTGACTCCTGCAGCCCCACTGGGGACCAGCAGCCCTACGAAACGTGGCTCTCACACTGAGTTTGACAGCACTTGGGGTCTGTTGTTCTCTCCCCGCTGTGGGGGAGGGAAGTCTAGAGGGAGCCAAAGTAGCCAACTGTTTTCCAAATAATTGTGTGCTCGGGTTTGATTTAGGAGGCAAGACTTTGTCTTCCTGTTTACAGCAATTTCCTGGGTTTTGCCCAATTAGCCATAGAGACAGGTTTATCGCTGCTGATCTAACAATAATATACTTTGCATTCAGAGCTTTTTAGCTCAAAGCACTTATAAACATTCGTTTAAGCCTCACAAACCCTCTTGTGTTGGTGGGTATTATGAAATGTGTTTTCCATCTGGGTAAACTAAGGGGGCAGAGATTGCAACTTGCGTAACGTCAGCTGAAACACAGGGAGGAAGAGAACCTGGGACAGGCTGCCCTGTGCTTGCTGGATCAGAGCACGCAAACCTTTGAAGGCAGGCTGGGTCAGGCTGTGGGAGCATGTCACTGGCTGCGTGGTGCAAGTTAGATAGCCATCCCATCTTGCTCTTGGCTCGGGTCCTAGGAAGAAAGCTGCCTGTTTTGTTCTGCCAGTGAGCCTCCCCTCCTGTTTTCATCTGCCTGTTTGTTGCTGCCGGGCGCTGTACCCGCTGTGCCGTGACAGGCAGCGTTTGGCTGTGCTCTCTCTCTCCGTTCAGGTGTGTCTCCCCCCACCTAAACTCTGGGCTCTCCCTTCCTAGCTGTGGACACCCACGTGCACAGGATCACCAACAGGCTGAAGTGGGTGAAGAAGGAGACCAGATACCCCGAGGAGACTCGGGTGGCACTGGAGGATTGGCTGCCCAGGTGAGGCTTGAGACCCCAGCCTGCTTCCTGCACACCAAGCCCCTAGAGCCAGCTGCTGGAGCCGTGTCTGCACACAATCCTGCTTATAGCATTGACAGTGACTGCACTTTGGGTCTCTCCTCTTTATGGGAGACTAGTCTGCAGGTGTTTCTCCTCTCCCAGAGAGCTGCAGCAGCAGCATCTTAGCTATTTGGTTGTTTCCTGGCAATCAGATACATCAATTGCCACTAGTAGAGCCAGCAACTTGAAGGTCATGAAGCCTGATTCATTGACAAATTTACCACGACTCAATCCAGATACTTTTCTACAGAGGTCCTTGCAGAGCCTAACAGCTACAGCAATATCACAGCAAAGTTGGTTTCTGGCCTTCATTGATGCTCCATTTTCGGTATCAAATGCCAGCTGACAGGTAGGCTGTTGCATCTCCACATCTGGCACATGCCTTAGCGCAAGAGAATGACCACGGGCACCTCGTGTGTCTGTCCTCTGCTCCTTTCCCCAGTTCAGAGGGCTCAGGAAAGGGTAGGAGGGCTGTTTCTAGCAGGAGGCTGGGACCCGCCTCCAGGCCCTTTGGGAAGCCAAGAGGAACAGGCAGTAGGTGAAAGGCATCCATTTAAAAGCACACACTGTTCTTTATGCCTCCGAGCAGCTGTATCCGAAAGCTCTTGTTTTCTTCTCACTGCAGGGATCTCTGGAGGGAGATAAACTGGCTCTTGGTGGGCTTTGGTCAGCAGACCTGCCTGCCCGTGAATCCCCGCTGCAACGAGTGCCTCAATCAAGACATTTGCCCAGCTGCTAAGAGACGCTGAGGGATCATCCGGTCCTCATAGAGCAACAAAAGCTGCTTCAGCTCAGCAGCAGCCCGGAGCTGAGCCCCAGTAAAGCTGTGCTTTGCACGGGGCTGGCTGTGTGACTGCAGGGAAACAGGAGACCGCTGCAGCCAGCTCAGCATCTCTGGGGAAGGAGCAGCCGCTGGCGACGGCTGAGCTCTCCAGAGGAAAAAGGGTCTTTCAGAGGGCAGCATCCTGCTGTGTCAGTGGGGAAGGCTCCAGCCCCCGTGTGAATGCCTGAGCATGTCCCAGCTGAGGAGCAGGCTGTGCCGCCTCAGGAGTAGCTGGAGAGAAATGCTTTGTCTTAGGAGACTTGCTGCTGCTTGTAAATACACACGTAATAAAGGTGGTGGGTTGGTTGGGGTTTTTTTTGCTACCCGTGTGTTTTGCTGGCTTCTGTGCACGAGAGGGCAGGGGGAGGAGAGGAAAGTGTGAGACCATAGCAACCAGCCCTGCCAGCTGAGAGCGGGCAGCACAGACCTGCCAAGCCCCCTGCCGAGCCCAGGCACTGAGGGGCAAGACTCTCTGAAGACTTCACGAGCCAGGATCAGAGGCCACCACCTGGACAAGTGACCTTCATGTCCTGGTGGCAGAGGAGCAGCAGAGGAGCCAGCATCCCTCTCAGTTTGGTGTGTGCCAGCAAGGGTTACAGCAGCCACAGGAGCCAGGCGAGTGTGTGCCTCAGAAGCTGACGGAAGGGACACCACCACCATCTCTGTTTTGTTCTTCAAAGAAAGGGCAGTGCTGACTTCATTGTAGAGCTTCAAAGGAATAATTTCAGCTACTCTTTAAACAGGCAAGGGAGGAAGGAAAGTTTATAATGTGCTAAAGAAGGCTGTAATTCCACCCTGAAGTTCCCTACCAAACAGATGAGGAACAAGCAAATAAGTACTTGGTACATGGGAAAACGAAGTTTATTACTGACATTACAGTGTACATTATGTTTTTACAATGCAGCTGACAGCCTTATACTTTATTGATTTTTTTTTTTTTCCCCAAGTTAAATGTACAGGAACTGAATAATTGCTACTGAGCTACAAGATGTCTGAAATACGAGAAGTGCTTTAACCAGGAGCAGTTTCCATGGACGAAGCAGAGATTTAAGATTTTAAAATCTTATCAGTACAAATTTGCACACCTGATTTCTTTTGATCCACATTCAAAACTACGTGTTCTTTTTTCTTTTTTTTTTTTTCCCCCTCTTCCCCTCAACTACAGGGGTCCAGTCTTGGATGAGAAAAGCGGTATTTACAAATAGGTCTTTGCTCTCTGACATGCATTGGAGAGTGCCACGTTTAGGTCAGGGGAACGCCCTGCCCTGCGCAGCCCGGGGCACTGCCTGGGGTTTGGCTCTGCAGGCACGGGAAGCAACGTGCATGCCATGGAAAAGAAGGGCTCCTTCAAAAGCTTACTGATTTCGAGAAGCAAATATTTGGGGGGGGAGCAAAAAGAGAGGAGGTAACTGTCTTTGAAGTGGGGGTAGGGAAGAGGTGTCTTGTTCATGGCAGAGTCTGGGGTCGGGGAGGCAAACCTGAACCTTTCCACTGTCGTCCTGCTGCCAGTCTCATCACCGATAGCCCAACACCTGCACCAGTTCCTCTCTGAAGGCATTACTTTTCAACCTGTTCAGCCCATCGACATTCCTAAAAGACAACTTTCGTAAAAGAGAACTCATCTCCTTCACCCCTGAGGCTTTCCATGCTCTCCTGCCAGCCAGCTAACAGCCATGGGCATCAGCTGCTCCCCAGACATCCTGGTCCCTGCTGCAGCCAAGGAGAGCAGTAAATGTTATAAGGCACCTTTTAGCTCAATACTTAGGAAATACACACAGACCTATTATGATTTCCCCAGCGCACCAACCCAAAGGTGTATTTTACACACAGCAGTGCTGGAGAAACGCAGGGCAACACCACCATGTGTTTTAAAATGGTCATCGATGTCCAAGTGATTGCTGCCACAGGCTTTTAGCTGGGAAAAGGAGTTCTGTACTCGACTGTCCTTCTGTGCCCAGCCCCTTCCTGCTGCTGCCCTGGCATTTGAGCTGAAATTCCAGGCAGCCACCGTGGCTGGGCTTTGGGGGGGGTGCTGGAGGGTGGGAAGGACGGGGATGGCCCCGTCACAGCCAGGACCCTGCCCTGGTAAAACACCTCTGTCTGCAACCTCTGAGAGCACATTGTAGTTCAGCTTAGTCATCTTCCCTCTTTTACAGCCAAAGGCAAGTAATAAAGAGCTTAAATGGGCTTAATTTTAATGTTTTAAGGATGCATTTTTGAGGCTCTCAACACCAGGAGCAGGGTGTTTTCAAAGGAGACCACAGAAAGCCAAAGCAACTGCTGCTCCGTCACACCGCTGCCTGCTTCATAGCCAGCCCCACGGAGACCCCACAGCCTCGGAGGACACCCTCCCGACGGCGAGACAGAGACTCAGTTAAGCCCACGGGCTGGAGGCATCACGTACCAGCCCAGAAGTAACAAATCAGGTGGGACCTGGACCCTGCTCCAGGACCCAGCACCCAAACACAGTTGAGCCCCACTTCCCCCAGCACCAAGCCCCCAGCTGAGCTGGATCCTCACATTCCACCCTGGAAACGGATGCCGGGGTGTGCTCGATTCCAAGTCCATCCAAAGAGTTTTTGTAGTATCTCATGGCTCTTGTCTTCTTGCAAGGCTCCTCACACCACGGGGCAGGACTGGCCCCGCTCCCTGCCTTCCCCCGCGCTGCATCGACGGCTGCAAATGATGACGGCTGCGGAATTTGGGCTGTTGGGTTTGGGTTTTGTTTTTAAATCCTGCCCTCTCCCCTCTGCAGAGCTGTTGGGGATGAAAAAGGGGCTTTTATTGCCAGGGCAGAAGTCACTGCTGGGGAGGGACGTTCCTAAACTAACTGGAAACATATGAGTCTTCATTAAAAACAAAACAAAACAAAACAAAAACCCCCAACAAAACAAACTTCTTCGTTTCAATAGCAAAGCCAACAAGAGCGATTTACGGGGTGTGCTCGATTCCAAGTCCATCCAAAGAGTTTTTGTAGTATCTCATGGCTCTTGTCTTCTTGCAAGGCTCCTCACACCACGGGGCAGGACTGGCCCCGCTCCCTGCCTTCCCCCGCGCTGCATCGACGGCTGCAAATGATGACGGCTGCGGAATTTGGGCTGTTGGGTTTGGGTTTTGTTTTTAAATCCTGCCCTCTCCCCTCTGCAGAGCTGTTGGGGATGAAAAAGGGGCTTTTATTGCCAGGGCAGAAGTCACTGCTGGGGAGGGACGTTCCTAAACTAACTGGAAACATATGAGTCTTCATTAAAAACAAAACAAAACAAAACAAAAACCCCCAACAAAACAAACTTCTTCGTTTCAATAGCAAAGCCAACAAGAGCGATTTACAGCCACTGTCCATTTTCCCATCGTGTGAGTAGTTAATGCTGCAGACGGGGTGCCTGGGAGGGGGTGCCAGGTACAGCCCACCCCACAGGGGCAACGAGGCCATCAGACATTTGCACAGGGGCACAGAGCATCCCACGGGGCTCAGTCTGGGACACCCGCAAAACCAAAACAAACACCCCATTTAAAAAAACAAACAAACAAACAAAAAAGTAATAGAAGCCTAAATGACGCAGGTAAGAAACAAAGAGTTATATTCTTCCAGTCCTTTCTCATAGGAACAGGGGACGGTGGGCAGCCAGAGCCGGGCTGAAGAGCAAGCAAGAAAAGGAGCTTTGGTCACATTTGTCTTATGAGAATCGCTGGTGAGTAACAATAATAATAATAATAACAATAAAAAATAAAAAAAAAGGACTTTAAAATACGCCTTGTAAAAGCAACCAGTGAAGAGCAGAGCACAAAGCATCTCACATGGACACTGAAGGACAGGGCGTAGGCACCTCAGAAACGTCCGAGCTGGGGCAGGGGCAGGAGAGCGGCGGACGGCGGCCACCAGCAAGGCTCAGAAATTACTGAAAATCTCTCTCTTCTTGTTCCAGTCCATCTGCGGAGCTCTCTTCTTCACCCGCTTGGCCCGCACCTTCTCCTTGGCCTCGGCAGCCGTTGGGCTCAAGCTCAGCCCGCTCTCCTCAAACGGGTCTTTCTTCTCCGCGTCTCCATCCTGCGTGGAGAAAGGAGAGAAGATGTCAGCTCTTGGCAGCATCCCCCACCCCGCCGCGAGCATGACCATGCTGTCCTGCAGCATTTCACCCCACATGGCCCTGGGAGAGGCGTTTCCTCCAGCCTGCATGATAAGCAAACATGCAGGGGTGGCTTTTTTTGGAGCAGAAGGTCAAAGTCCTTCCTCCGTGCCATGTCTGTCCTTCCACTGGAGGCGGCAGCATCCGTGTGGCCACAGAGTTAATTACTACATTGCGTTTTGTGGTGGGGGTTTTTTTCGGGGGGTTTTCTTTTTTTTTTTTCCCCTTGCCTGAAGGATGTGTGGCTGCCACGGCTGGAAGTGGAAAAGCAGAAACACAGAAGCTGCTGCCAGAGGGAAGACAAGCTGCTCCGCTTCTCTGCTGGGAAAATGAAAAATAAGCCCCTGGTGCGGGCAAAGAAAAAAAAAAAAGGAATGAGGGACCAAGCAGGGAGAGCCTCAGGGCTCACAGGGAGGGGTTGCAGCAAGGACCCCCCATGTTCACCTGCCCGGGCACCCGTTTGCTCCCAGAGCACCTGTGGCTGAGGTGGAGATGAGGTTGCGTGGGAGGACAGCAGATCCTGCCTGTGTGCCCAGCATGGCCACCATCACATGCCAGTCAAGGCAGGATTTGCTTTCAGAACTGTATTGAAAACAGCTTCTTTCCATTGGCTTAATAAAAGTACTTCTATAATTAGAAAATTAACTTTCTTCTCTGAAGTCACTGCCACTTCAGCAATGTGTCCTCAAGCCAGGAGCCCCAGGTTCCCCTCCATTAGCCCTGACCCTCTTGTTCCTGCAGTAGGTAAAGGGTGGCCACCACGTCCTCAGGGTACAATCAATGTGCTGGCCAAAATGCTTTCATTCTGTTGCATCCCTGTTGGGGACAGACCCAACACCGGGTCTCCCTGCCCCTCAAACCCTGGATTTTGGAAGCATCGTTCCTGCTGGGCCTTGGTTCACCAGAGCTTGGTTTCAGCAGGCAGCACGAGGAGGCTCCACAGCGGGCACAATCTAAAGCTTCAGTTTCATCAATCACATCTGTCCTGAGGCTTTGCCAGGTCTCGGTGCCAGGCAGGATGGAGATGCCCAAGGAGACCAGCTCAGGGAGAAGCGGCTGCGCTCTGCAAGCACCGCACTCGCGTAAATAGCAGGCAAGCACACAGAATCAAAACCTTGGGTTTTACGGAAACATTTTAAAGCCTGCCTACTCGCATTGCTGCCCTACCACCCAGGCGAAAACTCCCAAATAATGATTTCACAAGCCCTGCTGATAACCATGGGCAGGTCTTCCACCAGCACCGCAAGATAATGGCTCCAGCTTTGCTTACGAATGCAAACTGAAGCGGGCGGTGGCCTGAATGAGCTCACCAGGCTACGAGCTGGGGGGGCAGAGCCACGGGCAACCCCCCCACCGCTCCCCAGGGACTCTGGTTTCCAGTACAGAGGTGGGACAGTAATCTCCAAAACAGCCCGAAGGTGACTCTATGGGAGGAACCGCTCTGGCACCCGGACACAGCCTGGTTTTCCAAAGGCAGCAGCCATGGGATAAGGATATGTATTATTTAATGGCCAGAGAGAAACGGAGATGCCAGACTGCAGGCGTTTGGCCACAGCTCTCGGACACAGCTGGTGTTCGAGATGTTTTAGAGGCTCTGGGTGCTCAGAAGAGGCAGCGTGAGCACTCCTGCCATCGTTCTCCCCCTCTCAGCCCTCTCGGGACTGGAGACAGCACAAGCACCAACCAGCAGAGACCCCACAAAGCACCTGCATGGAGGCATTCCCCTATTTTTAGCAGGGCCTTATGCTAGAGGTAAGTTTCTGAGGACTTCAGAAACCCCCTACTCGTTATTTTAAGAAAAAAAATAATTGCTAAATTAATAACACTGCAAGAATATCAATCTATGCCTTGTGTTTACTTTTGGTCAACAGCCCCAGCCCCGCGGGTCAACAAATCCCTGCTCCTCCCATCTTGAGCAGCTCCTTGAAACACTCTGATAAATTCACTGTGCTCCAAGCTCAAAGCAATTTGGCTTTTTTTTTTTTTAAATTGTGGCCTGCCTTGTTCCTGTCAGCAGCGCTCGAACCTCGCAGCTCTGCTCCTCCTGCCCTCCCGGCTTCCCAGCCTCACCTCCTGCCCTGTAGTGCGTCAGTATAATTACACTTAAGATCCAAAACTCTTGTAGGCATCCTTTCATCTTACACCTCCTTTCAAGCTATTCGAGTCGCTGCCCAACGAGGCACCGATTAACTTGCTGCCGTTACCCCTTGACGTTCTCCTCTGCCCAGTTTGGGGCTGTGCCACTTCCTCCCCGAGGTCACGATGCCCGAAGGGACGAGCACGTGCCAGGATGGAGCACACATCCTCACCCTCGCAAAACTCATCCATTAATAGGGGACATCTGCTGCTGGCAGATGTCCCCACAAGCTTTTCTGTCCCCTGGACTAAGAGGGGAAAGAACATCTCTGTGACAGCAGTTCGTGCTGCTACAACACACGTCATCCTGAGGGACCCAAGCCCTTGACCAGGACTTATTGATCCGTCCCAGCAATGCAGCCAACTTTGTGCTGGAACCAGTGGCTTCTGGCAGCTCACGGTTCCGTTTTGTGCACATCTACAGGGCAAGGGATGGAAGAAAACTCTGAATTTTGCTCACTGGATGGATACAAGTGTACCCAAGTCTGCGAGATAAAACTAAAAATGCACTGAAAGACATTGTTACACCGTACCATAAAGCAAGTATGTACCTACAACAGTATGTAAAAGGGAAGGGGAATGGTTGGGGTTCTTACCTCTGATTCCTTTCCAGGACTTTGAAGGTCACTGTGAGATGAAGATGTGGATCCTCCGTTCAGCTAGTGGAAATAAAAACGTTAGTCCAGTTTGCCCAAAGACAGAATTAGAAAAAAAATAAAAAGCTAGGCAGAAAAATGCTCTAGCCACTCTTCTCCTGTGTCCCCCACACCGGGCAGAGCGTGGTCCCCAACCTGCCAGTGCCAGGCAGCCGCTCACCTCCTCCCTCTGCCACTGGGAACAGCGAGTAAATGGGGCTGAAACCAGCCTTGTTCAACCCCTACATTAAAGCTCCAGCAGGAAGCAATTAAAATCAGCCAGAAGCAGTTAAGCTGAGCTAAATGAGCCTTGGGGACATTATGAACATCCCTCTCTGCTCTGCAGGCTGGCAAGTCATCCCAACAGGCTCAGTGTCACAGGAAAACTGGCACACCAGGAGCCTGGCCTCTCACCCCCAATTCCTCAACACGTTCCCCTAAACTGAGCTAACCCAGGATGCTGCCCAAGCCACCCCATCCATGGGGACATCCTCCAGCAGGCAAAGACTCACCTGAGTCTGTGCAGATCCATTTGTCATGGGCTGAGGTACCACACCTAGAGACCACATAAAGAAAATACACAGTAAATACACTCATCAGCTGGGATTGCTGGCCTCAGGTCCCAGGCAAGCAGCTCTCAGTATCGCCCACCCGGCCACCCCAAGTCTGTCTTCTCCCTTGCCCACCTCTCCAGCCTCAACAGCTCAGTGTGTCTTGTCTCTGGACTTTATCCCATGCTGCTTCTGAGCCCACACAAAAGCCTGTCCACCCGCTTCATACCCTTCTGGAACCAAATTCTTTCCAGTTCTTTCGACTTCATAGAATCATAGAATAGTCTGGGTGGAAAGGGACCTTTAAAGGTCACCTAGTCTGATTCCTCTACATCTTCAACTAGATCAGGTTGCTCAGAGCCCCATCCAACCTCGCCACGAATGTTTCCAGGGAAGTGGCATCTACCACTTCTCTGGGCAACCTGTTGCAGTGTTTCACCACCCTCACCATAAAAGATTTCTTCCTTATATCTGGTCTAAATCTACCCTCGTTTAGTTTAAAACTGTTACCCCTTGTCCTATAGCAACAGGGTCTGATAAGAAGTTTGTCCCCATCTTTCTTATAAGTCCCCTTGACGCACTGAAAGACACTGTAAAGGTCTCCCTTTCCTTGATTTCACCCTGTTTTCATCAGGAAAAAACACCTTCCAGGAAGGGGACCGAGTAACTTCCTTCTATGAGCACGAAATTCAGCACACTCCTGGTTTTCTGACTGTTCAGTAGTTTTTCTTCAGAAGCTGTTTAATCAGAAATCTTAAAAAATAACCCCATGTTCTTTGCTGAAATCACCATCTTGTTGGTGTGACAACAGTGTGTGGCAAAGAGCCCGCTCCCCAGATACCCTGGCTCTTTGGGTTTTTTTGCACACTTCCAACAATTCCCACTAATAGTATTCCACACAATGGCAAATTTTATGCAGATTAGCTGCCAGTCACTAAAATCAAATCATTGCTGAAGGCATTACCATGTCTCATCTGTCCCAGGCTAACAGATGTGTTAATTGTGAGAGGATTAATAACGGAATTATCTCGAGCATGAATGTTTCTCGGGGCAAAGCCCTCACTCTGTGCATGTCTCCAGCAGAAGACAATGATGTGGATGCACGTCGCTGTGTAACCCAAAATCCAGTGAAACAAGAGCAGCAGCATGATGCCAAACACGGCTGGCAACTGCAGAAACACAGGGCAGCTAAAACCACAGCTCCAAAGCCATCTTCTCCCTGCACCACGTAGGGATATGCCTGGGTTTTCCAAAAGGCGACTTGGGGGTTGCCTCAGTGCGAGCTGCAGGGATTCCTAATGCAAATCGGGGCACCTTTGTGTTTAAAAAAATAAACTCAAATAACAATTTTGAGAGCATCTTGGTGCAAAACCTCATCTATGACGTAGCACCTTTGTGTTTAAAAAAATAAACTCAAATAACAATTTCGAGAGCATCCTGGTGGAAAAGCCTCATCTATGATGCTGGGATCCTTGAGTATTTTATGATACTGAACATCAGACTCGTGTTTACAGTATGATAAGATCTGGGCAATGGTCATCAGAAGAAAGTCAGCTCATAGAGATGATGCTAAAATGTCTGGTATCATAAGCAGCTAAAAGATAATGTTATTTAAATGAGAAGCAAGCTTCGAATCACAAGGAATATTAAAGTGGAACTGGACTTTAAAAAAAGAAGTAATTTTAAAACTTGGCATGTCTGGAAGTATTTTCTTATTTCCTTCATTCTGAAAGGTGCACAGCTCTTGAAATACTCTCATTGGCTAAAACATCAAGGTGCTTAGGGTCAGCGGTAAGACTTTGAAATGGTCAGCTTGAGGAAAACTCAGTTTGAATAAAGACTGCAATTATTATTTCCTCTTCTCCTGCAAACAACAGAATCAACCAGAGCACTTTGTCACGTACTGGACTGTCACCGGCCAGGCAGACCCAATTCTTGATCTGTTGATCTCTGACGAATGCGTTGAGATGGCTGCAAGAGCAGCAGAGCCAAGAAGAGCTGGGGCACCCCCTGCACCCCCTGGAGTGGCCAGTGGCCCTAGCTACGTCCCCACCCCGGGGAACAAGGGCTCCTTTATGGCTCCTGCCAGCAGACAGCTCTCGCCCCAGCTCCTCCTCGAACCGACGCGCAGCATCTGACACCGCTTTCGCCCCGTGCGTTTCTCTGCATTGTTTGACCCATTTCTTTGGACAAAATCTCCCCATTGAGCATCCCAGGGTGCGGATCAGATAAGGAAGAGCTGTATTGGGAAACAGAGCTCCCCATTCAGCCGGGGAGGGCAGGAGGGGCTGGGGAGCGTCCCGCTCCCTCCCCATCCCGGAGCCGCAGCACAACAGGTTGGGGAGCGGACGGGCAGCTTTCTCTGCCAGGTTTCAACAGCAAGGAAAACATTTCCTGCAACAGCCACCCCTGTGATCGCCGAGGCGTGAAACCTTTCCCTCTACGCACACACAGGCTGTTTGCTCAGGTATTTCTCAACGCACTCTCAGGCTCCTTCGCTGGGGCAAAGAACAGTGGGGGATTTATTGCGTTCTCCCTCCTGACACCCCAGCTCAGCACCCCAGGGAGACAGCTCTGCTCATCCAGACCCTGCAGGTCCACCCTGTCGCCCAGGGCATGGGTGCTACAGCCAAAAACTGGAGGAATGGCCATCAGAGAGGCTCCCCAGCCCCAACCAGACAGACTGGTCCCATCTGAGCATCCCTCACTGAGCACCCAGCTCTCTCCGAATCCCATCACGCTTTGCCTCAGCCACTTCATGGCAGCAAGTTCCTAAGTTAATTATTCATCGTGTAAAAATAACAAATTGGGTTTTTGACTAGATTAGAGAATGTTCTCACTATTTATAAATAGCTGGGTGGTGCTCAGGAAACTACTGAGGGATGAGACAGAAGGGAAACATGACTCTCCCTCACTTCTGAAATCCCACCCATGACACAGTGAGTCACAGGAATGGCGTAGGGTCACCCAGGGAAAGCAAGGTCTCACCTTTGGTGTGCTCCTCCGTGGGGGTCACCCCCAGCTTCTTGAAGTAATCATCTGTTTCGGGGTCCACCACCAAGAGCCTGGCTTCATTCTCCCTGGACTTAATGTGGGACACCACTTCTGAGTGCCGCAACCCTTCCACGTTTATGCCGTTCACCTGCAAAGTGACAGCATCAGAACCCAAATCTGTGCCCCCCCACGCAGCAGAGATACTGTTTCCAGCTCACAGACCCCCTAGAGCAGACTCCTCATCCCCTAAGGGATGGGATCTTCCTTTTTTCATTTCCATTGGGATGATAGGAAGGCTACAGGCTTTTTCCTTCACCCTCTGAAGCCAGCCATGGCCTCCTACCACCCCCCAGACTCCTGGTGCATCTGCCAGAGCATCCTTCATGTTACTGCACACCTCTACCTCCGCCCACATTCCAAACACATCCATGGGGACTCACAGACCCCAGACTCAACCATCACCTCACCCACCCAGGTCCTCTGGTTGCCCTCTTCAGTGATTTCAAACCCAGCCTTCACCTTGGGTGTACCCCAGGTATCTCAGGCTGCTTATGGGGTGCAACCATGTGCATGGGCAGCGGGGCTGGGTGCCACCGGTGTGTCCAGCTCCCCAGCCCTGCCCAGGCATCTGTGGCATCACCACACATCTATCATCCTTCAGTGATAGAAAAAAGAAATGGAGATTTCCCATGTCCCCAGCGGGCGAGTCCCCGTGGCTCCTGCACGGATTCATTTCTCCCTTCCCTGCGTGCGAGCCGGGACCTATCAGGGAACGTGATCCTCTGCTCCCGATTGTTCCCCGCAGCGAGGGGACAATTGTGATTTCGAGGCATTGTTCGCTGTAGGGAATGAATCACTCTTTGTCCCACAGGGGAAGGTCTCCGCGCCGCCCAGCCCCTCGCTGCAGGACCCGCTTTTGTTTAATAAACTCTTTTCAGTGCTCCAGCCCGTCTCCATCTCCGGCAAAGCTCAACCCACCCTTCACCACCCGTCCTGCCTTTGGCATCCAAAGGAGAGCAGAGTGATGGGCTAACACAGCTTGGATGGAGAAGGGGAGAGAGCACTGGTGGGACAGGGATCACTGGGAAGGGAGTAGCCGCCTCCTCTTAAAAAATAGCTACTCCGTTACTACAGCTTCTGAAACAAATCAAAGACTTCAGAAACCCGCCCAGCCTTTGTTAGAAGCGGACAGCGGGTTTTGTTTGTTTTTCTTACCCACACATAACATTACAGCTGCGTGCTTTGGATGCACACGCCTGCTCTCCTGCGGGGCCACCGGGAGAGCAGGTATCACCACCATCAACACATTTTTACTCCTCCACCTGCAGACAGACAACTGCCTTCTCCCACGCTGGATCCCAAAACACACTGATGCCAGAGCCAGGAATTGAGCACAGGAGTGGGGTAACCCCATCCCGGCAGCCCCCCAGGAAGCTGAGCTACACCAGCATGGCATTGCCTCAGCAGCACCCAGGACATTGCAGCCCATCTCAGGAAAGCAGGACAGAGGATGAGGCTGGTCCTGACCCAGCTGTGGTCACTCTCACTGCAAAGCCATGGTCACATCACAGCAGGGACAAGCAGCCATCGTCTCTGGGTCATGCCGAGGCTCTTGGGGCCTTGAGACCCTCCTTTGGAGGCAGCTGCTGCTAATTCCCACCACAAAGGCAGGTGAATGCTGCAGAGCCTGAGCTGGGCAGGCTCCAAAATTTGGGTTCCCCTTTGTCTTTTGGATGCCTGAACACAAACCTGGGGCAGAAGCGCATCCTGAGGGCCAGGCCATGGCTGCAAGGACTGGGATGGAAAGAGAACTCCCTCACCAGGCTTTGCATCTCACTAGCCACCTCAGCTGCTGGCTTGTAACCCCTCTCTGTCCCCAGCAGTGTCCTCCTGCCACTCCAGGTCACCCCAATTCTTGCCCGGTGCTCACCCCTGGTTGAGCTCAGCCAAGCGGCATGGGGATGCTCTCCCTCCACCCCAGCACCCCCAGTCCGCCCGGGGCAGCAGGGCTTGGGGGGGGGGGCATCAAATATTTATGGAAGCCCCAAAGAGCAGGTAGGGAGGGGATCGGGTTTCCAAGCTCGCTAGCTCACCCCTCGCCGCTTTGTGTGTGCCAGGCGCTCCGCCAAGCACCGATAAATAAATAACACAACCCCTCGCCGTGACACCGCGCTGCCGCCGGCACCCTGCTCCCGGCCCCACGCTGCTCCCAGCATTAAACTTTCAGGCGCTGGGAAGAGGCAGCAGCTCCCACGGGCCAGGGGACAATTATTCACGGGGCTAGAAAGCAGGCGAGTGTTTTGGTATTAGTATTTGCCCAACTTGCCGGGCTCTGTAGGATGTGAGTGTTTTCTCCCAGGATAACCCCCTTCTCGCTCTGAGCCGGCAGCAAGGGCCATGGCTTGGTCCCCCTGGGATGGTTTTGGGGTTCACCCTCCTGGGGAAGGGCCACGCATCCCCCTGAGCCTAGGACATCCAGGTCGTCCCGCAGTGCAGAAGTGAGAGGGGTGATGACTGCTGTGTCTGGGGCAACGGCTGCTGGATCAAGCCCTGCCTCTGCCTCTTGCCACGCACCGCTCAAGCCCTGCCCAAAGCACAGGCAGCTCTGGATGGGGAAACATAAGACACACACAAGCTGAAGGGAGGGTGAGTCCATCAAATCTTGTGTTGTTCAGCACTCAGTGACCAGGAGACTGTTTCCAAGAGCAGTTTCTCCCCATCTTTCACAATTCTGCTTCTTAAAATCTCTGCACAGCTTTTTCCCCTCTTTTTCCAAACACCCACCTGTGTATCCAAATACCCACTGAGGTATCACCTCAGCCGGGCAGCACCAACACGTCCCTACACCCCCAGCAGGACGTCAGACCGAAGGGCAGCTGGGTGGAAGGCCACCTTGTCCCCTGCAGCGGTGATGGGATGGGTCCCACCTGTCCTAACACCTCTTTCACTGCAGATCCAGCACCAAGTGGCATCAGGCAATGCCACCAAGCGCAGGGCTCACTGTGCTGCAGGGGGGAGATTGGCACCCATCAAGCACCCCATCTGTCCATGGGATCCCACTGCCAGCCCTGAGCCACCCAGACAGGCACAGGGGCAGCCATTCACCTGCTCCAACCCTCCCCTGTGCCAGCTGGAGCCAGCATCATCATCTAGACTTCAGCGCTCACAAGTGCCCACTTTGAATGAGCTGCCAAAGGACCACAAAGCCACTGCCTAAGCATCCACACTGGTCTTATGGCTCTGTATTATGGGGGGGACACAGCAGGGATCTGATGGAAAAGGTCACAGGATAGGAATTTGTTTCAGCTTCAGCCTTCTTGAGGGTCCCATCACTTCTTCTGTCCCTTTCCCCACCCGGGAGATGGAGACAGGACCCAGGCTGGGCAGGATTGAACATCCCCATGTGGTGTGTGCCAGGGAAACCCCAAGAGGCTTCCCAGAAAGGGAGATGCTGACCCCCCATTTCATTACCTCCACCAGCCGGTCCTGGGGCCGCAGCCCCGCTCTGGAGGCCGGTGAGTCGGGATCAACTGAGCGGATGAACTGCCCTGGCCGGGACTTCTCGCTGTGCAGGTTGAAGCCGTAGCCATTGGGACCTTTCTTCAGGTGGCAGAGACGTGGGCACAGCTCCTTCTGTCCGTTTAAATCCTGATTAA